GACGAATACATGCTACATAACATTACCATTGCTTCTGAAAGTATTTTTTATTTTGCAAAATTACGTTTTTACTTGAATTCTCGTGCTTTTTAAAAAATGAAAATTATAATAAATTCAAAAATAATAAAAACTAGTCCAATCCAAACGGACCCTAGTCTACTGCATTGTTGAAGAAGGCACGTATTTGGAGTAATATAAGGTCCAATAAAAGTTAAAGTTACGGTCAGGTGGATAAGGAACAAATACTATCTGTATTCAAATATTGTGCACAATGTGCTAATAATTATTTCTATCCATGAAATAAATTAACTTAAGCTATAATTCAAATTAAATTATTTTATGTTGCATGTGATTGTGAATTCTTTTTGTTATCAGTATTCTAATTATTTTTTTGTGATATATACATAACTATTGAAAATCAATTCAAAATTTATTTTTAAAAATTCAGCGAAGATATAATTTTTTTATTTTCAAATTTTTTATTAAGTAATTTTATTTATTTTAATATATTTTATTCTTTCAAAACTAATTTTTTTAATAATTCCAAAAAAAAAACCCATGGAAAAAAGTGTAAAAATTATTTTTAAAAACATTATATCATAAAAGATAACTTTTATTTATGGGTCATGATTATTTTACATCAGTATAAATTATACTTAAAATTTTAATCGCTGATCATTTTTATATCTAATGATTCTAATTTATTAGATATACAAGTCATTATATACAAGCAAATTAATGACCAAAATTTAATATAAAATTTTTTATTACACTTACAAGAATAGTCCGCCTCTCTATTTATGTCATGTCCTTTACACTATCTAATTTAGACTTAGAAAATAAGATAATATAATCTTCAACCTCAACATCGACAACACCTTTAATACAAGCTAAATGAAATTTGTGATATATGAACTCAGTGATAAATAAGAAGAGATTAAAAAATAAAATGAAATAAATAATAAATAAATAAATAAATAAAAATAAAAATTGGGAAAGGAGAAATAAGATAAAAGACAAAAAGGAGAAAAAAGAGACAGGGAGATTGAAGAGAAAAAAGACTAAAAAGAAATCATGTGCAACATAGGAATAACAACAAGTTTAACCTTTCACCTTATTTATAACTTTTATTCATTTATAACTTTTCTGCGTTCCGTCCTAATAAGATAATATAATCTTATTATACTAATTATTTATTCCACATCAAATATAGCATAATACATGCTTTTATCATATCATATCTTATCCTTCAAACCATCCCAAATTGTATTTTGCAAAAAGAAAGAGAAAAATGCTCTGATGTGCATGTTGGACTCGCAACTCAATATCCTAGGTTTCACTTAATTCGAATTAGTAATTATTTGAATAGATCTCACAAAATCAGGAGATTTCCATGTTTTTATCATACCATATCCTCCAAACTATCCCAAATTGTACTTTGCAACCAGTAAGTGGAAAGAAAGAGAAAAATGATCTGACTGCATATTGGATTCGCAACTCAATATCCGAGGTTTCACTTCATTTAAATTAGTAATTATTTGAATAGATCTCACAAAATCAGGAGATTTCCAACTAATCCCTATCACGATTGTAATTCCCCCAATCTCCCAATAAATGCAAATAATTATTTTTTGATTTGAATTAGTAATTATTTGGTAGTAATGTACATTTTTCTACGAGCCGTGAGGTGAGAGGAGAGAGCGAACTATTCTTTCCCGTTCACTAAAAAAGAAGAGTAATGTACAATTTTGTTATGAAGTGAACCAAAAAATTTATATCAGCATCATGCAAACGTTATCACGGATAATCAGAAAGATGGCAAGCAATCAGTGTGTGTACAACTAATACATCAAATAAACTTGTACTCATATATATTATGGGTTTATTTTTTCTAAAGTTACTTTAGATAACTTTATCTAATGTTCACCAAAACGACGTCGTTTTAGGACGAAAATCATGGTTGTTTTGTAATTTTAATTTATGTCAAGGATATAATAGTCTTTATCATTCTAATTTTTTAATTTTTCAACCCCAAAACGACGTCGTTTCGATGAACATTAGACAAAATTATCTAAAATAACATTAGATACTTTTTTCCCATATATTATTACTTATGGATTAAATCGTATCGACACGTTAATGAGACGCAAAATTTGTAAATTTTCTTTCCACCAGTTCACTCTATCATTATTGTTATTATTTCTTTTTTGCGTGAGCAAATGGATAATTTTTTTTCATGATATTAAACTAAAAATTGAGGTACAGAAGCAATTAAAGTCAAGTTTAAGCTGAACAAATTCATTACGGATACAAAACTAGATGAGAACGTACGAATCTCATAACTCGGAATTCGACAATTGGCCATTTTCTGTGATAGCTTCCAAGTTCCAGCCTCTGAAAAAAAGAACTAATTAACACAAAAACTATATTGAATCAACCGAGAAAAACTAAATTTACATAGCATTGTCACCTTTCTGTTGCTTCTCTTTTCAATTCTTTTATGTGTGTGTCAAGTGAAGTACACGCAACACTGATGTCTATATTTTTCTGACAGAGCTCCCTCCATTGCATGCACAAAGCATTAAGCTCATATGCGGTATTTTGCTGACAATAGTTTTTTAAAAAAAGCCTTTTAAGTAAAAGGTTAACAGAGTTTTAAAAAATAACAGAAAGAAGGGTGGATAAAAAGTCATTACCTGATGATATTTCCTTTCACGATTTACTTTTTCAATCTTTTCATTTTGTTCCTGAGCTAATTTCTGCATTCTAAAAATAAATAACACAACTATAACCAAGCCATACAAAACATGAACTATGCAGGCAAAGAACAGGTGTTATCAAGCTCAAGCTACATCTTTTTGATGTATTTACAATGGTAAGTAAGATGAATACACACACACACACACATTGACCAGTAAGACAGAGTCTAAAGAACTCACAGGTTCAAATTAACTTGATGAGCAAAGATGATGACTATTGCAAATCAAGTTGTACGAAAAAACAAGTCACTTCAAAGAGAATAATAGTTCCTCATAATTAAAATGAAAGAAAGAAAAATGACAGTACAGCCGTTAAGCAGCCCTTAAAAGATTATTAGTAAATTTAGAGAACTTTGGGCTACGCCTAATGATGCAAATGACAAAGGAGCTACCTATAATATGAAGAAAGGAGTTGGAAAGAGTGTAATTTGGGCAAAGATATCTGTCCCCCCGGCTCTTGGTTTATTGCTGCTGTCTCTATTCCTAGAATGCTATAGGGTAATGTTTGGGGAGTTTGAGAATTCTTTGCTAAGGATCACCATCACCTTTTGGGATTCCTTATTTCATGGGCTTTTATCTATTATCCTTTGATAAGAAGAGGCAATACATAGTCATACCCTATTGTAATCCCCTTTAGTCATAATAGAATAAGTTGTTCTTTTTTTTACTTGCTTCTTTCTGATACTTGCTTATTTACATTCAGACAATCTTCACTCATTTATAAAATAAATTTGACTCTCAGAACATTAATTAAAACTTGCTAAAGCATAAACATATGCATGATAAATACAAGGGTATGGATGCTGTGAAGCACTGAAGTAAGAAATGCTCTAAACTAGAGCTTTACTAAATTTGTTTAAAGTCATTTTAGTGCTACACTTCAAAAAACCTCAGGTAACCAAAATACTGTGGGGAGAACCCAGTCAGACCTGAATATCTATTAATTAGGAACTTGGGGGAAAATGACTCAAGCACATATGAGGCTGTCTGTCTCAAGTATCATCTTTACTAATGAAACATTCATTTATCCACAAAGTCACTGTGTCATGAACCAAATCAACATAAAAGCTTAAGAAGTTTGATAGAGACAAGAAATTGAAATTGGAAAAAAAAAAGATTTTTAAGTGCCAGTCATACGGAACCAAGGGAGGTGTGTCTGTTGATAGAACCTACAATTGCTAACGATGTACAAAGTAAGCAAAAGATGCACAAGCACTGGTGTTACATGCCAGTAGTCAAGAAACCAGATTGATGCAGCATAGGTAACATCTATAGAATTCAACTGTTTATTATTGAACCTTTTCAAATTGTTTCTTTTTAAGAACCAAAAATATTTGTGCCAAAATAATAGCTGCAAAGAAGAAGAAGAATAAGAGACCTTGGACAAGTAATGGATCTTGAAGTACTATTTTTGCGTCCCCGTGACCAAATACACCCACATAAACAAAATCTAAACGTAAACCACATTAATTTCATCAACAAACCTTGACAGGTATACTTCCAATCGTTGGTTGTGCAGTTTCCAGGAATCAGGACCATATTTTAACAACAATTCCAAATTTTCCATCCTGCAGACCAACCAATTAAAACAATTGTAAACACATGGCTGATAGTCTGAATATTAAATTTTTTTATAAACATTTCATTCTGCACGATAGACAGGACTTAAGATAAGATAGAACACCCATTTCAAAGTGCTAGAACACACTAAATAACATGTTCAATGTAAAGAAGAACACTTAGGCTTGAAAATAGGATGATTCTTGATGATAGGGTCAACTGCACTGCAGTTCTTCCTTGTAATTTCGTGGCTCAAATCATACATTTCCGTGCTTGTGATGTTTTAGTATGAATCCCACAATTGACTTTTAACACCAGCACATATATTCCCTTGCATGACAATCTTAAACCTGAGAAAAAATATGGTCTATTTAACATTGCATGCTAGCATACCTCATCATCTGATACTGCAGTAGGCGTTGAGCTCTCTGAAGAGCTTGCTTCCAAGCAGTTTCATCACTCCTTTTATTCACCGGTGGTGTTTCTAACACATATCGCGACCTATCAAGAGAAACGGGAGGCCTTCCAGCTCTTACACGCTCATACTCTCTGGCAATCATTGGGTAGTCCTGGAATTCAGAGAGCACAATCACACTCAGAAATGAACTAGGCCAACACATTCTTCACCAAAACCTATCTTCTGTTTACTGAATTCAAGACCTTCAGCTTATGTCTTTCAACCAATATTTATTTATTTTAAATAAGAGAATATTTTATTAGATTCAGCAAAACAGTGCTATTAGCAAAGTTGCATATTTTTTTTTTAAAAAAAATTATTAGTTAGTTAACCTATTTGGGGAAAACATACAACAAATCAAACAACCTGAGAGCATCATTTCCTGACATGCAAGGTTTCTGAAAAATAAATAAGAGAAATGAAGAAGAAAAACCTAATTTTTTTTTTCCAAATTGTTAATACCTGAAAATTGGACTTGGGAAGAGGAGGCAAATCTTTGAGGAAATCGGTGGGCTTCTTAGAGCTACGGCGCATCTCATCCTCGACGAGACGGTCAACTTCAAGCTTGATCCTGGGGTCAGCGTAGTCGTCGTCAATGTAAGGCAATGCGTCGATGATTTCCGCGTCTGAACTACTTGGCCTACCATAAGACGGTGGAGCTTCCAGCATCAGAACTTCCCCGTTGCTTTGATTCGCCATGGTTGGTCGGTTGCTGCAGAGAGAGATAGTGTTTTCCTCAGCTGGCGCCTGAACTGCAGTTCCGGCGAAAAAGATGTAAGAGGAAGAGAGAAGAATGTCTTGGCCTATTTTATCAACTGCGTCCCTCAAGCCCAAAGCCCAACAGTCCAAATACTTATAATATTAGAAACCGTGTAAGACAAAAAGATTTGAATTTTGGTTAATGTTGGCTTTCCATATTTTGCTTTCAATAAATTTTTTTAGAGAGATGTTACATTTATAATTTCTTTATTATTATTGGGTCAAAATTATTAATTTAATTTTGATCTAACAATAACAAAAATGATTTTACGAGATTATTTGAAAAATCTCCATCAATATTTTAAACGTTTATTCTTATCTTCTCTTGAGTTGCAGACAGGGAAATTCTTTACGATACTACTCTGCTAAATAAGAAAGAAAGAGAAAACAATAACATATATTTGACATTGTTTTCATTGAGGACAAGATAGAAGACATTGCCCTCATAATCACATGACACTTTAGGCTAATTGTTGCAGCTATTTCTTCAATTTTGTTGTATAAGTAGCAACTGAGGAGATCATCTAATTTACCTAAAAAATATATTCTAGACAAATACGAGATTATTCAGCCTAGGCGTACCAAAATCAGTTCTTCACAAAAGTAAGAAAAAGTTTTATCAAAATATATGACAATTTCAGGTGAACTTTTAATATTAGTTTTTTCTTCATGTTAATTCTTCTCGTGATCCTGACATCAAACGGATAAGAAAAATTCGTTTTTTCTTGTCCTTTTTTTAATACAATTTCTTATCCCATTTTTAACATAACTCAGGGCGTGTTTGGTTTAAGGAATATTTTCTATATCCATTCCATATTTATATTAATAATTATAAAAAATATCATCATTTTTGTTTTATTATTATTTTAAAATAATTAAATAAGAAACAATAAAAGTAAATTGTTTTTACCATTTCCTGTACAAATATTTAACACAAAAGAAAATATTTTCGAAATTATAAAGGAAAATAAGAAATGAGAATGGAAAAAGCTTTCTTAAACCAAACTTGCCCCTTTTCCCCCCATGTTCTCATTTTGTTCCCAAACAAAAGCGCAATGAAAAATATTGGACTTGATTGAACAACTCATTGCATAGAAGAGAAGTATGATGTAGAATGTACAAGACCAAACACTGGCATTATTAGAACAACAAGCACTGCATGAATAAAAGAAATGTATGAGATGAGGAAGTGATTTTCCCGTGGGTACAGTACTGATAACAAAACAAACTAGAGTCCTAAATTTATTGCAAAAATCAGTTCTTCCAAACGCCAAGTTAGAGCCAAAGGGGGAGCATAGTGCAAGACTCATTACACTAAAAGGGAAACTTCATACAGAAAAGATGAATGCTAATAATTGAGCTCCTATATCTCTTTTGAACCTCGTTTAAATTTTTGTACATTGTCTTATGCCTTTCATGTAATAAATTTAACCTTTTTGGTTTCTTTCATTTGAAACGTAAATACTAATCACTATGCACTTGGCATATTTGCATAGAGGAGAGTGAAAAAAAGTTCAACCTCTTGTATATTTTTAATGATTAGGATGAACTGATTTTTGCTGGGATCTTCAAGAAGCAAAGGACACATATGTGCAACTTGAGGCACCACTCTGACCAGCGGCAGGCCTGCAGTTACACTTACTCCAAATTTAGCCCCCATCAGCTCCACAACTGTATCCACCACTGCCTTCAGGGATATTTCTACAATGCTCCCAAATTCAGCACTGCGAAAAAAAAAAAGGAGAAATAATTATTTGAGAGATTTATGAAACTCAATAATGAAATAGTATAAGCCATCCTCTGACGTAAACATGTTTAATCTCAAATAAGGAATGGTTTGCTATATATATAATTTTTTTTATTAATAATTGCTTCACAGAATGACGAGTCTTGGTGGAATGAGACCAAGCATTACAATTAACATCAAATATGGACACTAGCAATATAAAAGGCTTGTATGTCATTGGTTAAAGTACTGTCAGTTCCACATATAATTCTGTATAAAGTTTCTGTAACATTTCTGTACACTTAGGATTTTCCTTCTCAAATAGGTTTTCAACATTGTCAACTAGTGGATCAGTCACCCTCACGTTACAAGCAGAGAGTTCATGCACACGGTTGTCACAGATTTATTGAGTTTCTAGGAGTTTTAATTAACCAATGCATCCAAAACAAAAAATACAAACCTTTGTAATACTGCCCGTGCTTCCATCATAAGTTGTTCAAATTCAGTAACATCAGAAGGGACTGAGTCATCACTGCTGGGGGCTGTGGAATGTGATTTAACATCTGCAGGCATCATATACTTTACCCAGGAATGCGGACTGCTCATGCTCATGAACGTGTTGAGTATCTGGGTGATAGTTTCATGAAGTGTTGTACTGTTGAAGAAACTATCCAACTCCTTTCTGCACATCGAAATTATCTATAGCCCATTTAAAACGACTCTAGAATCTAGATCACTAATCTATAAAATATCTCTAGATTCTATAAATGAAGTCAATACTTCCAAGTTCCATGGTTATCTCTCTCCCTCTCTTTATTCACACCAATTCAAGAGGCCAAGTAAGGCACAATTTTTGGTGAACTATTTTATTGTAGATTAGCTGCAAACGTATATAGGAGGCTGCTCAAATGTTGCATAAATGTATTAATGGTACAGAACTTGGATTTTCACCAAGTTTATTAACTATTCAATATAGATGGTTAAACTGAAAAGAATCGGAAACTCTCTGAGTCTCTCAATTCAGAAACTTAGTCAAAAACAGATTGAAAGGTAGGGAAGTTTCAAAACACACACTTGGCAACAGACAATTCCTATGCCCATTGATAGTTAAATAAATTCCTACAGCCTAAACTGTACACAATTAAGATTGTTCTATATCTTATAGAAAAGGTTAATTTTTTTTATATATATCAGAGACAAAATTTGTAATGAACTAATGATAGATAGATTCATTTCACAAATTGTTAACCTTCGAAATAATAAAAGAAACATCACCCTTTGAGAACTTCTTTTGCTGCCGTCTCCATATCAGAAATCAAGGCAGGCATACCATATTGAAAGAGAAAATCAACACTTCCTAGAAATTTCTGCTGGTCCTCCCTATCAACCACATCTCCACTTTCCTGCACATAGATCAACAGAGAAGAAAAGAAAATACCTTTAAGGTTCAACGTGGCATGTCCTGTGTGAATTTGGTGAAAAATAATTTTTTTATTGAAGTTGAATAAGTACGGTTCTTTTGCAGTTTGAATAAGGAGTAAAAGTCAACCATCGGAGGACAATAGAATCACTCCCTAAAGAATTTGATTGGAAAACTTTGAAATTCTGATCTACCTTGAGATTTGACACATGCGTCACTTCAATTAATTGAGTAGCAAAAGCCTAAATTTTAACTACGGAACCTAGTTTCAAATCCATCTCTTCCCCCCTTGCCCTGGAGTTAAGTTCCTCATCCAAATGCAATCTCAAGATAACAAAAAGAAAACCCACCACACAAAAACAGTAAACAACAAGTAACTAACAGATAATAGTAACTTAGAAATCTGTGAAACCATACTATATGCAAAGAGAACTCTCATACTCAAACAATAGAGTATAAAACTTTAAGGTTCCTCTCAGTTTATCATTAGTGTCCTTTATCAGGAATTTGTGCTCCCAACCATGGTAGTTAAAATTTCGATTTAAATATGCGATTTTACGATTTTACAATTTTTTTTAATCAAAACGATTACATCAAAATTCCAAACGCTTTTACATTTTTACGATTTTTTTTACGTTAGGATTTTACGTTTTATGATTTTTTATCCTCCTTCCGATTTTAGATAAAATCTCGATTTTAACTACCATGCTCCCAACCACTCAGGGAAAACTGTTAAACCTTTCAATATATTCACCAATAATTGGTTTCGATAGCTCTTCTGGCATAATATTTTTCTACCCCAATCACTGAACTGTGATCAATTATCCAATCAGAGGTTTTGCAAATAGTAATCAGAACAACCTAACTGATACCCACAAAAGAGTAGTTAAGCATATTAATTAAATAGTTTGTGTTAGAGAAACTAGTATAAGGTGTTTTGTTGTAAATTCCTCTTTCCTCTACTTACACATTCTATGAACAGACAGAAGACATTAATTCCTTCATGAGAAACCCCTACGGAAATCCCAAAAGCCCAAAGGTCAGGTGTTCTGTTGGGATAGCAGTATTCAACAAGACTAATACTAATGAACATTGTTATGCTGAAGATTCATACACCTAACAAGGCACTGTCTTCTATTATGTGTAAATGGTGTGTTCCGCTAGAGTGGAAAGATCTGCATATGTATTGTCTAGCAGTCAGTTAGATACGGAATAGGTTTTTTTAAGTGCTTGCTGAACCTTGACGCCTTCAAAACTAGGAGTTTTTTTGCATTGATTAAGTACAGAAATTTTTGGTTCTGGCAGGAGAATGAGGAATTTTTGTGGTAATGTGCAATGTCTGCTGTCCTTTGGTGCTTTAAACTGGAGACAAGTCATGCTTTTGGAATGGACCGTGCATGAATTTTTTAAGGAGACACTTTGTAGATTTGCAGAGGCATACATAGGAGAGAGCTTATAGACATTAACAACAGAGGAAATGAATCACAAGAAACAGAACTTGGTGGTGATGCATTGCACTTTCACATGAACTAGCTGTAAATAAGACCAAATAAATCCTAACCACGTGGGAGAGTCATAGGAACCAAGATACTGTAAACCTATTTTATTCAATATATCTCAATGGAACCGCTTCACTGTTACTGATATGAAGATTATTGGATGAAGATTTGTAAAAGAGACTAAAGGAAAACACTCAAAACATATATTTCAGAGATCTGGTCTCTTCATTTTGTTAGGACCCCACCAAGTGAGGTCAGGACTTGGAAGGTGTATACACATAGAAATAAAAGGAGTTAAGTGATGGGGTAGTTAATTAGTTACTTAGTTAGGCTGGTATGCTGTCAGTTAGGCAGTTAAATAGGGAACGCCGTAATTGTAGAGCATTCATTCATTTTGGAAGATCAGCTAACAAAGTCTTAGCCCAGTTGTGAAAGGGAAACCCTTGAGGGATAATCTTTCCCTGTTCATCACTTCAGATTAATACATTCAGATTCCAATTTCTCCTACTCTCTCTCTTTCTACTTTCATTTCTCTATATCTTGCCTTCTTTTTGGGATTTTTACTTTTGCAAACCTAACACATTTCCTACCCCCTATTCACATCTTTCTTGTCCCTCCCCTCCTTCTCCTTCTAATCCTCCTTGCCCGTAATAGATTATATTTCATTCATTCTATCACCCTGTCGCGTGTGCATATAGTTACTTGGAGTCGAGTTGTCTTTCTCTGCTCATGTGGGGTGTTAATCTCATGCTTTACCTTCCTTTTCTACCTATAATAGGCCTTGGCAATAGTAGGTGCACTAACGGAGTGCATCTAGATATTATATCCATGACACCATGGATTCTTCATATTACTTATATATCCAAAGTATGCAAATTATACACAACACCTAAGTAATAGACATGAAAACTCACCATATGTAAAAAGAAAAGAAAAAATAAGAAAGAGAGTTGTCCTTACCATTGAATTAGAGCTTCCAAGCCTTCGTGCAGTATCAATATACAGATGCCTTCCTAGTATATTGACTTGAACTTTTGTATATAAGCTAAGCATTGTTGTTGCCCATACTGACAATGCCATTCTTGTAAAACCTAGGGTAAAAGAAATTGCACAGAAGTATGTTTATTTCTAAATCCTTATTGATTTTTGCAACCGGATAAAATTACATAGTGATGAAGCTACAGGTATAATAAATGTGGAAGCCAAGACCAGATTCATACTTAGAATTTCGAGTCGACCCCATAAATCTAGTTTCTCTGATAGTGTTAAAGTGTTTGGCTGACCCTTTCCTTGTATTAGCCTCTCAAGAAGCTGAGAAAGATCCAACTCTTCAGCTATCCGACAACTTAAGTTGTGCATAGCATGAGGCAATGTTATTGTATCAGAAATTCTCTGAATATTCTCAAAGTGAGCTTGCATCCTATCATTGTCAATTGAAAAGAAGAGGCATGCCATTAGCTTTCCTGGTTTATAGATGAGAGGTATGAAATTTATGATCACAGAAAACATATATATCAATCCATCTATCTATCTAGTCTATATAAACATGAAGCATTGAAGGTGGACATTTCACTTAACTGAGCCTTCACAAGCTCCTCACTTTCCCTCTGAGCTGCAAGTTCTCTCTCAAGTTCATGGAGCCTATGCCTGTGAGCACCATAAAGCTTATACAAACAATAGCCACTTCCTAAAACACCAACGGTAAGGAAAATCTTCCTCCTATGCCGCCTCCACAAATCCCTAACACACGGTAACAAAAGAAGTTAACAAAAAGCCCCCAAAATAATGCAGGAATGCATAGAGAACAATGACAGAGAAGCAGCCAATTAAAGAAAGAAACCAAGTGTCTCGCCATTTTGTTTACAGACGAATAATAGAAAACAACTCATGTTATAAAATCGACACAAGTTTACAATTTTATTAAAAAAAATGAAATTGCGTGTCGAAACATTAAGCAAAGAAGGAGAAATGAAGTTGAAACAAACGAATCAAAGAGACACCCAGATAAAGGATGACATCAAAGTTCGAAACTTTACCTCACAGAAAGCATTTTGATGATACTAGGAAGACCGAAAATCCGTTACCATGGCTTGGCTTAAAAATCTGCTTTACGGTTGAAAGGGAACAATAGAAAGAAGAAAGTGGGAAGAATCAGTGAAGGTTAGCTACGAACAAGAAGAAAGAAAACATTGGAATACACAACTCAAGTGGGGTGGGCACAGACACAGACACAAAAGATGAAGAAAAGGGCTCCAAGTAAGTGACTTAGGTACCGGAACCTTGAAATTTCGGAATTGAATCAACATAAAATGTATGTATACCCAAAAAAACAAAAAATTAAAAAAAATATATATCAAATTGTAGTAAAATACATACGGGAAAAATATAAAAGGAAACCGGAGACGAAAAAATATGATTAAAACTTCAACCAGAAGGGAAAAATGCGTGGCAGCAGTGTGTTTGCTGATATCATTAGTTTACAAGCACGTTTGGATCCAGGTTCAACCGAATAACATCAATAAGTTTTATGGTTGGCTTAATAAAATTGAAATCAAATATAATTTTAACTTGTTTGTTTTAATCCAATATGATAATTATATAAAGGGTTCACTTTTTCTGTAGTTACGATAAATTAGTTACTGCAGATAAATTATCTGCGGTAAACCTAATATGATGTTATTTTGGGACGGAAATTATGGTGTTTTTGTAATTATAATTTATTTGAGAGTTATTATCTATGATGCACGAACACGAACACGGGACACGACACGCCGACACGTTAATTCTAAAAAATGTCATATTGGGACACGTTGGGACACGTTTTGATATTAAATAAATTTTTTAATATATATAATATGATTTATATTTAATACATATAAGAGTCCATAATAAGTCATGTAACCAATTAAATATTTAAATTTCATAACATAAATATAAATAATTTTTCGTAGTTTGTTGATTTTTAATGTCAAATTTTATAACAGAAAAAAATTAATTTATAAATTATTTCTTTTATATTTAGTTAATAAAATAAAATTAAGATTTAAAAAAAATAAAAAAAACGTGTCCGAGCGTGTCTCTAAATGTTGACCGCGTGTCCCCAAATGTTGATCGCGTGTCGGACGCTTGTCCGAACGCGTCGGACATGTGTCCGTGTAACGGAGGTTATTATAGTCTTTATAATTATAATAATTTAATTTTTCAATTTCAGAGTTATTATAATTATAATGATTTAATTTTTCAATCCCAAAATAACGTAGTTTTGGAAGTAAATGCAAATAACTTATCTGCATTAACTGCATAAATATTATTCTGTTATATAAATTCGAAACTATAATAATTTTTAAGTTTTTTTTTTTAATTTCATTTGAATATTATTTTAAGGGGGAAGGATATTGTGACAAACAAGTTGTGTTACTACCAATCAATCTCACCGTTAGATCGATTATGTGGATCCAACGGTTATATTTATTTCCATCTTTGTATAGTCATGATTTCCATATAAAGTTGGAAATAAATATAACCGTTGGATCAACATAATCGATCTAACGGTGAGATTGATTAGTAATAACATGGTAGTAACACAACTTGATTGTTACAATATCATTCCCTTATTTTTTAAAGGAAAAAAGTGTGTATCATTTTAAAGGATACAGTTGTGTCATCTTAAGTGAGAGAAAATGATAAATCATGAGAGAGAAAGTGGAGAAATATTTTTTAAAGATGTGGGTTCAAACTCTTAATGAGAGTGAAAAGAGCTAAGATGTGTTATTTAAAATGACATAATGACACACATTTTCTACTTTTTAAAATTAGGTCAGTCATTAATTAATAAAGATATTGAATTGTCGTTAAAAGTTATCAGGATTGGGCTAAAATAGTTGGACGGGTAACAAGGCCCAGAAAATGAGATCACATTTCTAAAAACCCTAATCGACACTATATATTGTTATCTTCAGCAAGTGAAAACCTCTCACAAACAAACCCTAAAAACTGCACAGAGAGAGAACAAGAATAAAGAGAGAGAGAGAGAGAAATGGCAGAGGGTCTTGTTCTTCGCGGCACGATGCGTGCACACACCGATGTGGTCACCGCAATCGCCACTCCGATTGATAACTCAGACATGATAGTGACAGCATCGCGTGACAAATCCATCATTCTTTGGCAGCTCACTAAGGAAGACAAGACCTACGGCGTCCCTCGCCGCCGCCTCACCGGTCACTCACACTTCGTTCAGGACGTCGTTCTCTCATCCGACGGCCAGTTCGCTCTCTCCGGCTCATGGGACGGTGAGCTCCGCCTTTGGGACCTCAACGCCGGCACCTCCGCACGCCGCTTCGTCGGTCACACAAAGGACGTGCTCTCCGTTGCGTTCTCCATCGACAACCGTCAGATCGTGTCGGCGTCTCGTGACCGCACGATCAAGCTGTGGAATACCCTTGGTGAGTGCAAGTACACCATTCAGGATGGAGATGCACATTCCGATTGGGTTAGCTGTGTCCGATTCAGCCCTAGCACTCTTCAGCCAACTATTGTTTCTGCTTCTTGGGATCGCACTGTTAAAGTTTGGAACTTGAGCAATTGCAAGCTGAGGAACACACTTGCTGGACACTCTGGCTATGTTAACACTGTTGCTGTTTCACCTGATGGTTCACTATGTGCCAGTGGTGGCAAAGATGGTGTTATTCTGCTGTGGGATTTGGCTGAGGGAAAGAGGTTGTATTCTCTTGATGCTGGTTCCATTATCCATTCTCTTTGCTTTAGTCCCAACAGGTACTGGCTCTGTGCTGCCACTGAACAGAGCATTAAGATCTGGGATTTGGAGAGTAAGAGTATTGTTGAGGATTTGAAGGTTGACCTCAAGACTGAAGCTGATGCCATTTCAGGTGGCGGCAACACTACCAAGAAGAAGGTAATTGTTTTTTATTTTTTCCTTTCAAATTTTTTTGTTGATTTGTAATTGTTGGTTACTATTGTTTAATTGGCTCATCGATTAGCTTTTTCATTTATTATATTGTTTCTATAAGATTGGATGATTTTACTTTCCATTTTAATTTTAACTGTTATCGAGTTGTGATGTTTTGAACAAACTTCAATTATATAAGTTAATGGATATATATTTTCTTAGTTATGCTTGTTAGAGTGGTTCGAATCTTGTTGAAGCAGGAGGTGATGCAGAATTGATGTTTGCTTTGTAGTTTAGCCATTTTTTTTAATTGTATTCTGGAAATTATTGTTTGAGTAAGAGTCTTGTTATTTATTATATTAGAATGGTTTATGCTTTAAGTTTGTTCCAATTTTCACTGAAGGGATGTTGCTTTTGCCCCCTGCCCCCTATTGAATTGTCTTCTTTGAAAGATTGTAACTTTCATTTTATTCGTATCCTGTTCTCAGTCAAGGGGATGATCATGTCCTGGACCTTCCGCTAGTCTTATCATGCTATAATGTAGGATATGGATATGTTGGTCTTCACATTGTATGATACTATGACAAATAATTTTGCCTGATGAGATGTGTTCGTCATTTGAGGACTTCGACCTGTTTTTTGTTTATTTGTTTTGCTCCCTAAAATGTGTTCATTCATTTGTTGTTTCCTTGGCACTGCCTTACAGGTTATCTACTGTACAAGCTTGAACTGGAGTGCAGATGGAAGCACTTTGTTTAGTGGCTATACTGATGGTGTGGTCAGAGTTTGGGCAATTGGACGTTATTAGGAAAGCTTATCAATAATTTTCGATGCGAATCTGTTTTTGATTTTTGAGACAAAGCTAGTTACTGTTTCACCCTAGAACTGTTAAAAAGTTTTTTAGGTTGTTGATTGCCGAATCAATGGCTTTGTGGCCTTTTATTTGTTTTAAAATGCTCGCTTTGGTTATTACTTATTTGTATGGATATTTCAACATCTTGTCTTTGTTCATCTCTAAGTTACAAATATTATCTTTACCTTGATTATAGTGGAGATAATCCACCCATCATAATGACGTGATTGATAATCCGCCCCGCTAAGTCGCCTACTTTCTTATTTTCTTTTTCTTTTAAAAAATGACGTTTTATTTTTATTCTTAATTTTTTTTCAAAACATTGCATGTCATTCATAATATTTTTATTTATTTTAATTGCTTAATCTTTGTCCCCGAGGATATAAATGTGGTTTTATACATTGCTTATGCAATGCTGCTTTTGTTGTTTATTGTTGATAATTAACGATGTTGCAAAGTTTTGTAGTGGGATTAGGATAATTCTTGCAGCATGCTGTAAGTGTAGACCTGATCATTACAAGAATCTTGCTTTCATCATACTTGAATTTTCAAGTTTATCTTTAAAATGAATTTCTTTGAATAAATTAAAGCTAAATCCCAAATCGTGATATTTTTATTATTATTAAAGTATTTGTTTTGGATTGTCATTTGAATTTGGTTACTAATTAAATTAGGAATACAAATTATTGTATTCTTGTTACTGTTAATCCTATTACCTCTTGTGAGTAGTTAAAAGCAATTTCCCCTGTCGCAGGCAGATCTGATGATTCCAAGTCATTCAAAGTATGTATAATAGAGATCCTAATCAAGGCTGCGCGTGAATACTCGATGAACAAATTCTCGCAGTTATATAAAAAAAATTATTTTTAAAAATGTTTACAAATTCAAAAATAGGTTTAGTAACATCAAATGTTTAAGATTGTAAGTATTTATGAATGATTATTTTATATTATCTAAACATAGAAAGCAGATGAGTAGAATCTCTATTTAGTATTACAGGAAGGATGCAAATTGTACTCGGTTTGAAAATTTGCTGCCTCCCATTACACTTCACATTAATCACTTCGAATCCTAAGTACCACACAATTACAGTAAACTACATGTCGTAGACTCCTTTGTCTTATAATTAAGATGACGTCTATTTTTAGTTTTTTCGGAACATGGTTGACGTCATTGAAAGCAAAACAGAGATTGATACTCCATATATTCACTCTCACATTCAAAAAAAGAAAAGAACTCATCTGGAACGTTTAAGATCTATAAGAACCAGACCAAAAATATAATGGAAAAAGAATTCGTTTCTGCTATTAGTCACCCAGTTCAGTATGCCAGGCCGAAAATCTGTCCGAACTAAATACACTATAACAAGCACGAGCCCAGCCCATTTGCATGCTTAGTTCAAGTTAGGCTCATGTAGGAATTGTACTTTTTTTATTTGGTCAACATTTTGGGGATTAGTTGGATAAAATATTAATTTGCTCTCACAAATAGATAGATGGAACTCACTCATTCAGCAGTTTCAAAATGAGGCAACCTCCATTCATTCATTCATTTGATAAAGAGGCCACCTTCACTGGTTTGTATTCATCATTATTTATACTTTTAAGAAAATATAAATATTATTTAATTAAATTCAAATATAAAAAGATAAATTATATATACTTTTTTTTTGGTAAACAAATTATATATACTTTTATTTTGCAGTTATAACTGTTATAAAATACTCTTTAATTTTTCATACTATACGTACATTTTATTTAAAAACTTTAATTAAAAAAATAGAATTTTCATTATTATTTATACTTTTAAGAATTTATTATAGGAGACATCACAGGTAGTCAATCACACACAAATGCCGACTCAACTGTTGTAATTGTAAAAGGGAATATTGCAGATATAGGCCGTTGGAGGGGAATTTTGTTGTTGTGGCGGAAGGCACCTGCTGATAGTTGATGGTTATATGGCGGTGGAATGCGTGAAGACAGACTGAGCCAGTTCTTCTGGGCCATTTCTTGGTGTTTGTGTGCGCTTATATATCTGACATCTTTCCCAATTCTATCAACATCTTTAGTGTCATATTAGCCATTCTATATTGGAACATTAACATATGCAATTTAATGCACGGGTATTGTCATTTTACTTTGCATACTATGTAAATTTTGTTAAAATTGGACCCTATTTTAAAATTTACGAATCCTGAAATATAAACTCTCAGTTTTAGGATTGGGTAATAAAAACAGATCCCAAATAAAAGCTTTCCCCAAAAATTTTATTCACATTCCATTAAAAAACAAATACACAATGCATTCCACATACAAACAAACAGTACAATCAATCTGGCCTAGAACAGGAGGAGCCGATTGAAAAACCTCTCAAGAGAAAACCAAATGAGGCCATCAGGGATTTGGGTGGGGAGGAATCGCTGCCTGTGTTGTCTAGTCTACCAGCCCTTTTAACACGATTACTCCCACTACCCATATTGATCCCATGTAATGTACTCAGCATTTTGATCCTTTGTACAAAACTATGACACAAGTATTAAAAATCTCGGTATCATAAATTGGAGCAAACCAAGATAAGTAGATTGACGTACACTGGACCTTCATAGTCCTGATATTCAAACTCACAAAAAGCACGTACTTTTAAAAGTGGCACACAAGAAAATTGCCCCAACATATTTCCAAGTCAAGAGTGACAACCAAACCGATGTCTGCAATTTGCAATAAGTCCTTTTGCGATATGACCAAACAATCAAAAAAAGCTCATTTGTCTTTTCGGTAACCCCCAACTTGTGGATATTGTGATAAGCACATTCAGTCTTGATTTTTGGAAGCCTTCTAAAGGAATAAAATTGAGAATCCAATAAATATCTCCCACTTTCACTTCTTCCAAACTGACCTAGATCTGTCATGGAGGGGTTATCTTCCAAACACGGATAAAAGCATCCTCACCTGCAAGGTAGTTAAAATCAAGTTTTTACCGAAAAACGGAAGGGGAATAAAAAATCATAATGAAAAAAAAAAATCGTAAAAAAATAAAAAACGCTTGGAATGTTGATAAAAACGTTTTGACTAAAAAAAATCGTAAAAACGTAAAGGCGCAATTTTAAAACGAGTTTTTAACTACCATGCTCACCTGAACTAACCAAACTATACTCATCAGTGAATGTTAATCCGTAAACCCCGCCTAAATGTGCAGCCTTTATGGTAATTCTATTAGATGCAGGCTGGTCAATTTCATATATGATGACGCATGTGTCAAGTGATCCTGTAGCAATCCTACGGCTATCAGGGGACCAAGCAAGGCAGTTTATCCGTGCAGTATGGTACAACATGTTCTTAAGCTTCACCTGCAAAGAAATGTGTCAAAAAGGACACACAAGTAATCACTGCAAGATTTTCTTTCTTGCAACACATTTAAAAGCACAGTTGATGGGCCATGGGCCTAAAAGTTAGTGAATTAGTTAGTTTGTTATGGAAACTATTCTAGAATATTCCTAAAGTATAGGATAAAAGGTAAGCAGTGTGTGTAGTGTGGATAAGCATGAACTCAGCATTGGCTTATGGGAAAATAGGGGATCTCTGGGTTTATTTTCTGCATTTTATCCTTGTAAGGAGCTTGTCTCCATTTATATTTTCTGCAATTTCATATTAATAAAAGTATGTTCCATCAATTTGGTAGCAAAGCCCTACAATCCTGGGAGTCCTTCTGGTCCAGATCCAAAAAATAAATAAATATGAAATACAGATTTTCAATGGTTCCAAAATTCTATGGAGACGGAGGAGATAACGAAGCTTGGGGATGACTAATCAATTTGGAACAAATTTTCCAGATAGAAGGAATCAATGAAGATCAGAAGTACATGGAAGCTGTGAGAGGGCTCAGAGGGAGTGCGTGGTAACAAGGTTGGAAATCGTTCAATCTTACCGCAAGCTGGAGGAACTTTGAGAAGGCGTTCATAGAGAAATATTTACCTGAAATTTACGTGGTAGATGGTGCAGAATCAACGACGTCAAACGCCTTGAAAGAAGAAGAAGAAGAAGATGCAACTGAAGAAACAGAAGACAAAATCGAAGAAGAAAAAGAAAAAAAAGCACGATCTGAAGAAGCGCATGAAGAAGAACAGCAAACAGAGGAGGAAAATAGTGACTCAAATCCAAACAGAAAATATGAAGAAATGCAAAAGAAATCAACGACCAAACTAGAGATGGAGGAAATCAAGGAGGGAGAAGAGCGAAACAAAATAGACAACGATCGTGGGACTGCAGCCCAGTCTTTGCACGGTGGTGCAATAGAAGAGACGTATGGCGGAGAGCGGCAGAGAGCAGGATTCCGACGACATACATGGGAGGAAAAGGCAGACGAGGTTGGAAGCGGACATATGGGAAGATCGTTTGCTGATCAGAATCGTACAACAGCACAAACAAGGCGGCTCAAAGAAACGGAAGAAGAACAAAAGGAAGAAAAAGAAGCAGAAAGAGAAAAGGAAGAGAATCACGAGAGGTGGAATGGTTACTGTGGGTAAGCAGAATGGAGCTGGTTTGGGTAATGGGCTGCGAAAACATGGCCCAGCCCTTACTAATAGGGTCTCAACACACACAAATACATGGCCCAACTCTAAAACTCCTAAATGTCTAAATGGGCTGGTGGTAATAGAGAGATCAGAAATGGGTTATCTCTCACTAATCAAACAATGCGAGTTGGGCTCAATAATACAACCCAAAGAGGGATGAATCAACACACCCAGACCCGATGGAATGAAATCGGAGGAGCATAAGTGTTTCGACTCAGCGTTCACAGTGCTGTTGGGAGTTGGGACAGAGGCTACTGCAAAGAAGCTAGCTGACCTCAGTGGAAAGGGGGTGACAACGGGGTTAAGAAGCTTTAAACAATGGGATCCGGGTGGATATTTTCTCACATGACTTATCCTCTTCTTCACCTTAAGGACAAGGTGAGTTTTGGAGGGGGATATTGATGGGCCATGGGCCTGAAAGTTAGTGAATTAGTTAGTTTGTTATGGAAACTATTCTAGAATATTCCTAAAGTATAGGATAAAAGGTAGGCAATGTGTGTAGTGTGGGTATGCATGAATTCAGTATTGGCTTATGGAAAAATTGGGGATATCTGAGAGTTGAGATTTCTATGTTTATTTTCTGCATTTTATCCTTGTAAGGAGCTTGTCTCCATTTATATTTTCTGCAATTTTATATTAATAAAAGTAGGTTCCATCAACAGTAAACACATTAGAGAGAAGGCATTAAACATAATACTGACTATTGAAGCTCATAGTTGTACTTACCTCTCGGGATGCACGGTCCCATACTACAGCTTCTCGATTAACATCCCCTGATGCAAACATTGAAACGTCCGGAGAATACCGTATGGCACTAATAGCACCCCGATGTTTCTCAAGGACTGCCTCCTCTACAAGTGTATCCCCAGAAACAGAATATATGTGCAATTTACCATCCTGTCCACCAATAATGGCTTCACTTCCATCAGGAGAGACAGCAGATGCTGACACAATAAACCCAAGATTCATGGTTGACACAATTTTAGTACCACGCAGCATGACAACTCCTGAATCAATTGAAACCAGAGCAAGTTCAGGGGACAGAGGTGCAACACTTAGATCTTTTGGTTGACTTCCTATATCAACGGCTTCAGCATCTCCACACTGATCTGCATGTAAAGAAACTCGCCATATCTGGTTATCAGGGAAGAAAGGAAATGGAGGGGTAAGAGAACAAACCAACAGTTTTCTCCATAATGTTCATAAATATTGCATATGCCTTGAAAATTGGGGCACCACTAATTTGCCCATATCATATCATGAAAAACATCATCCAATGAAGATCTATGTGTCATTCATTGAACGGCTTTCTAATAGCTAATATTGAGAATATCACAATATAAAACATAACAATTTCTCAAATATCTTTCGAGGAATAATTAACAACAAAATAGATATTGATCAGTGAACAAAATTGATCACTAGTCTAAGAATATCACAATATAAAACATAACAATTTCTTAAATATCTTTCGAGGAATAATTAACAACAAAATAGATATTGATCAGTGCAACAAAATCGATCTGTCTAGGTTATATCAAGACATAAATGAGAAGGTCAATTGCCAAACTATAATATCTCCAGATTAATAAACCAATTATTAATTTTGCCACTTAAGTGAGCTCAATAGAACTAGTAGGGGAGAGACATGGTCCTTCCATCATCAATGGGTCAAAAGAAATAAATATATTGGGCACAAAAAATAAAGTCATAACAGCATTAGATTTTAGACCAAACTATACTTTTTAGAACTAGAAGGATAGTCATAAATGTTACATATTGATGATAATTCAAATATAAATGAATCAGTATCTTGTAACTTTTTTTAAATATACTTCTTTTTGTTTAACGGGTCTCCAAGTCGAGATTTAGCCAAGTTAACTAAGGAGATTTCTATGAAACTATACTACCAACATACTTTACTTGAAGAATGCCCTATAATTAATTTACTTCATTACGTAAAAAATCAGTGTAATTATTTAAATGCAAATGATAATCACCACTGATCTTTTATCCAAATTAAATTGGAAGAAACATGAATTGGTAATACGTAATGTCGTGATTATCATTCTCACATTAGCCAAAGAATATATGCAAAACACTCACCTTATTATCGAACCCAGTCGTAACAATCTCTTCTTCTAGTGCTGCTAAGCATTTGATTTGAGAATTCTCCTTCCTTTGTAATTTACCACTATATCCAATCCCTAGAATCCACTTAACTATTAAGCCATCATAACTGCTAGACAAGAGCATTTTAGGGTTACTTCTAAGAACAGTTAAGGAGGAAACATTTTTCATATGTCCAGAAAACACCACTGGGGCTTTATCAAGATCATTTGCTAAAAATATCGATATTGTCCCACCAAGAGAGACAGTGACAAGATAATCATTCAACCATAGGCACCCCACTAGCATGTCTTCAACTCCACCAGAGCCATGACAAGTCAATGTTTTCTTCATCTTTCCATTATTATCCTCAGATATGTCCCATACTTTTGCACACTTGTCAGCAGATACAGTAAGCACCTAAATATAACATTATAATTGAAGATCAGATTGTCATCACTCAAAAAGCGCATTACAGTCCTACAGGGAAGGGAGAAAAGAGACTTGCACAAAAAAGACAAGTAGAAAAGCAATAGGGATTAAAAATTCTGCAAATACAACTGTTAACTACAAACTCAAAAATTAAATAGCACAAGAATTTTGCTAATTTAACTATGCAAACTATATCTAACATGTAGAATGCTATGCCTAACATCTCCAGTGACAAGCAATCATAACATGTATGATAACATCAACAAGTAGAATTGCAAATATCTGTTGCTTTCAAAATTCAAATAAAGGTCTAAAATTAAATGCTTAAACTTGATAGAATTTTTTTCCAAAAGACGAGATAACAAAACAAACCATAACAAAGTTATAACACATGCATATATGGCATCACTTTGAGAGCAACATAATGGAAAAGTAAAAAATATGTCAAGCTAGCAAAAGAAGTAGATAAAAAGATTTTTTTTTTTTCTTTCAAATTCCCATTTCCTTTGCTCTAATTGGAAACGAGTCTAATGTATTTCATGTTTATTGTGTATGCATCATAAATTGCCTTCGAAATGTTACCTCAGCAAAGCATTTATAGGATTGGTTCATGCGTTTTAATTAATAAAATGTTTCTTAGTTTTCTGAAAATATTAAAAAAATAAGGCAACTATTCCAAAATGTTTATGAAAGTACGAAGTTCAAATTTTGCAATATGTTATTTTCTAAAAGAAAACAAAGTTAAACGATCAACATTATGCATTACAAAGAGAAGGGATAGTGAGACAGAGATGGGAAAATGGGGTCAGTACATCAGGGGATGTGCGTCTTTGCAATACTCAATAAAAAATACTCAGAAGTTAGCTCACTTGTTTCCCATCAGGACTCCAGCTAACAGCATAAATACTGCCTGTATGGGCACCTTCAGAAGACAACTCACCGATCTTCTCTCCACTCTTTCCGTCGAATATGATACCCTTTTTGTCAGAACTTACACTTAAAAATTTACTGCCATCTGGAGAATATCGTACACAATTGACAAAATTCGAATGATCCCTGTACATAACCAAATTATTGCGATATCAGTTATCTATCAAGACTAGTTTAGTATGCAGAAAGGACCAAAGATAAGAAAAAACCAAAACAGATGAATGTGAAGAAGAATAATTCCAGAGACACTCAGGTGTAATATGATTACAAATTTTTTTTTTTGACAAAAAATTCTGATTTAAAGATCCATTAATTAAAACTTTTTTTAATATGAAATGATAAAAATAAATGAAATTTATAGCAATATGCAACAGTTTGAGTTCCACTTAAAAAGCATTTTAAGTAAAATCATACATTGTATATCTTGACCCACAATTTTTTTCTTTCTTTCATTTTTTGTCTAAAGAGGGTATAACAGGCAAATTTCAGAGGAAGAATGTTTTTAGTTCCCTCAAAGAAGTCTAAACAAATGCAAGGAGGGTAAGCTATCTCATATGCTTGAGTAGAACGAGCAAAATATAAACAGTGCTAGTATAGTTGTATGTAACACATTTTAACATTGTCTAAAAAGAAAGGATCAGAGGACAAATAATCAGTTCAAAGGACTATAACACCGTTAAGTTTTTCATAATATACCTGTGAGATAGCTTAAATCTAAATGGCGGTCCTTCATAAAAGTTCACAAGAAAATCCTCTCCACACGTGACAATGCGAAAGGGTCTCGTTGGTTTATACGCACAACTTAAAACTCGCCTCGAATGTCCATCAAATTCACCAACATTAGTCCCTGAATCCCACCTATACATTGTAGAGTTCATCATAGAGTAAAACATTACACAAAAATGAAGATCAAGGTTCAATTGAATCTAAGCGATCGATTACTGTGATGGTCAAATAGATCAGTGGAAGAGTCAAACTCACATAAAAGCACGAACAAAGGATTTGCCTTTGCCTTCGCCGCAAGCCACGATCCTAAGGCCATCCGGGGACCACTGAAGGTCATCGATCCGACCCGAGAGGACCCGGAACTCCTTCTTCAAAACGAAGTCGTTTCGGGTGCCCCAGATCCTGACGGTGCCGGACACGTCAGCAGAGGCGACCCACTCGCCGTTAGGGGAAAATCGTGCGACGGTGGCAGGGTAAGCATGGTCCCCATAGACGGAGACGTTAAGGGGGTTTTGAAGACTCATTATAACGACGGATCTGCCGTTAGTATAGACGACTGAGTTTGACTTAGGGTCGCCGGAGATCAGAATCCCACGGCCACGCTCGGTGGATGGCATGCAAGAGTACGTTTCCACCACCTCATGGCTCATCTTCCTCTTCCAAACACTCTAATTTTCACTTTCAAAGGGGTTTGGGTTTTTCCCTCTTTATGTATTGTAGATCAATAAGAGAAAAAAAACGTTCAACGCATCTTTGACAACTACTTTACCTTCTCAATATTTTATTTTTGATAGATATTCAGATTGTGAAAGACAAGGGAAAAATGAGTATCGTGCTAAAATTGTGTTATTTTAAGTGACAGAAAAAAATAGATAAAAAGGGCAGAGAGAGTGGAAAAATAAAATAAAGATGTGAGTCCACTTTTTGTAAAAGTGAAACGATATAAGTTATGTCATTTAAAATGACAAACACTTATCCCAAAAGACAATAATAATGCTAACGTGGCATGCACTACTATAATTAGCATAAAAATTGCAATTAATAAATTATTATAAGGAGAGAATTATATTTACAAATTTTTTGTTTATAAACTCTTACGACCTATATTTTGTACTCTTGAAAATACATTAGGTTATACTGTGTACTTTCAAGAGTATATAGTGTAATTTGTAAAAATTTGTAAAAAAAATTTGTAAATGGATCATTCTTCTTATTTTAATATGGATGTTTTTTTTATGGATTCATTTTTCTGCGATTAATGTAGATAAATTATCTGCATTGAATACAAAATAAAGTTGTTTTGTAGTAGAAATTAAAATATTTTTATAATTATAATTTATTTTAAAATTATAATAGTCTTTATTATTATAAAAATCTTTTAACCTAAAATACATCATTTTTTAAAATAAATGTAAATAACTTCAACATTAAAGCCTTCTTTTATATTATATAATGGTTATGAATCATGTAATGGGGACAAGGACAACTAATAAATGTTTATTAACTCACTCTAATTACTTGTACATATTAAAAAAAGATAAACTCTTTATGAGTTTAGTTTCTTATAAATAAATTTTGTTAATTTGAGTTGTGTTCCACCCGTTTAAAATTAAGTTTGCTAACTTCTATCAGTCAACGAAAGAAAAGTATTCTTATTTTTTTCCTTTACCTTCCCCTGTCAACCTCCCCACCCAACAATATAGCTTAGTTGTCCTTTATTTTCTTCTTCTTCTTTTAATATTTCAATGTAATTAAATTGCTTCTAGCATTGTTTATCATTTCTCAAGATACTTATCGCTATCAAGCCTTAAAAACGCCAGTCTCTGCATCCTCCTAAAACGCTTTTGGACCCTCCTCAACCAAGGATTGTAATAATTAGCTATACTACAATATAAAGTAGTGATATACATGGTTGGATTCGGTTGGAATCAGTAAATTAAACAATGATTAGGTTCTTAAACCAGTTTAAAAAAATAATTTGATTCTTAAATCGGTTCGGAAAAAAAAATGGTGAGATTTTGTTCGGTTTGTGATTTAATTTGGTTTATTTGATTATTTTACACTCCTAAAAGTGAGTTTAGTTCGATTCAATTCAAATTTTTTATTTTTTTGTAATCTGATGAAATTTCAAATGCTAAATAAGATAACTAATTAAAATAGTAGATAAGCTTGAGCTTGACTACACTGATTAAGATATATAACTAAATTAGATAAGACAATAAAAGTAAATAAGTTAACTGGATTAGATAAGTATGGTTAATGGGAAATAATACTCTCATGCTACGTGAGAGTAACATCTTTTCTTACACAAATTCGTTTTCCGTGTCAATTAATTTTTCTTTTTTTTTTAATATAAAAGATGGGACCCACATTTAACTTCTCTCTACTTTTTTTCCCTCTTACTATCCTACAACATGAGAAATCTTGAACCCATGATTAATCTAAATATTCTAAAGTCTAATTGCTCTTGCATCTTCGGGTCTGGAGAGTCACTGGACTTTAACTGGTCTCATAATAATCTCTGGTGTTCCTTTGGGGCTTCATGTGGCCTGGACCACAACAGAGAACAGACCCTTTGGATCTTAAGACCAGTATCTATTACTTCATTAAGTTTACTTGTGTTATGTCACTAAAAGAAAAAGAAAAACAAAATTTACAACGTTTGAATTAAAAATCGGAAACTCGTGATTTACTCTTAGTCAAAGCAAGCAAAGAAAGTAAGAAACACAAAAGAAACGTGGAAAAACCGCTACCGTGATTAGGTGGAACAACAAAGCCCAGCTCCAACGTTGACACTGATACCCGTTCCATCATGGGAAGCTAATTTCAACCAAAATAAATAAATAAATAAATAAAGATAAACGTAGAAATACAAGAATAAAATGTACGTACACTTAGGTGAGAATCAAAATACTAGGTTTGGGAGAATATGCCAAGACCCCACAAACAGATCAGAGATGCAGATGCGGGGACAAGCTCCAAAGTGAGCCTGGGAATAAACATCTTTAGTAACATAAGGTTTTAATAAAATACCAAAAGGGAAATCTAAATCAATTTTCATTATTAACCATTGTTAGCTTATGGACAGCGAAAGATAATGAAGCTCACTGGCACAATATGTAAAAGAGTTGTCCGAGTATACCTATAAGAATCTCTCTTATTTGAATGTGATTAAGATTAGGTTTTTCTGCATAAACATTTTCATAGACAACTGCATGCAGTTAGTAAAATTGACTCAAATGTCTGATGTGATATATGTATTTTATGTAGGGCTTATCGTTTCTCAAGTTGTTTGAGATAATTTTATCTCTAGTTACTAAATCATAACCGTACAAAGATGGATCAATGGTGATAAATGAAGCGAGAGAAAAATGAAATCATAATCATTCAAAGGTGAATAAATTAATATAAGGAAATAAATAATCAAAACGACGTAATTTTTGGATAGACAGAGATAATTATATCTCAAGCTGCTTCAGAAATATTCTTCATAATAAAACAAAGGTCCTATTAATTATTATAAGAAGTTGACTAGCTATCAATAACTATCAATTTGATGAAAGTTGAATATAATGTTCAAACGCTGTCTCTGCCATTATGTTTTCCTACAACCATGCACCATCAGAAAGTGTATGTGATAGAAAGAAAAGGGTAAGAAATATATATTGGGTTTCTATAATAAATTTCATGGATTGGAATCATAGGATACGAGACTTGTGATTATTATTGTAAAAAATTAGTGTAAAAACGTAAAAACTTACTGAAGTGATACATGTTCAAAATGCAAGTAAAAACTCTACTCAGTAAAAACTCTGTGTAAAAATGATAAAAATGCAAGTTTCTATGTTTTTATTTAAACAAAAAAATGAACCAGGTTTTATACAAAAAAAATATCGGGTCAACTTTTAACCCATTATCTGGGTTTTTTTTTTTTTTTAATAAAATCCTATTTCCATTTTTCCCAAATCAAAATGCATAGTATTTTCTTCTAGCTATCTGGAAAAAAAAACTCTCGCGCGAGGTCGCTGTTGCAGAGAAAAAAGAGGGTGAAGTCACTGGTAAAAAGTTTGAGTACCAAGCTGAGGTAAGTTTTGAATCATTCTATTACGTTTTATTGCAAATAAACTTGTTATAGGAACAAGAGAAGAGGACATTGAGGACATGCAACTGATGCAAAATAATGTGTTTGATTTGAATAAATTGATATAATTTAGAAGTTATTAAACTTTATTCTTTTGATGTTTTGAAACTTAGTTATAGGAGTTGTTAAACTCTTTTTTATATGTTTGACTTATGTCTTATATAGTTATATGACTTATATATTTTAAATATGAAGTTGTTCATTGCATTTTGAGTAGTGAGTTATGTGATTTTTTTATATGCATATATATATATATATATATGTGTGGGAAAAATGTGTGTTTAAAGGATGTAAAGTTGTGTCATTTTAAGTGAGAGAAAGAGATAGATAAAGGGGGAGAGAGAGTTGACCAAAAAAAATAAAGATGTGGGTCTCACCTCTTTGTGAGAGTGAAATGACACAAGTTGTGTCATTTAAAAGGACAAACACTTTTTTCTCTCTCTCTCTATATATATAAAATTAATTTTGTTGATTCTTGACCTTAAGTAATAGAAACTTTATGTTTCGTGTCATTTCTACAATTTACGTTTCTATCATACCCTTTCGTTTATACGTAGAAACTCGATTTTGACAATATTGCTTGTGACTGTTGAACATATATGTATTTGAGTGAACAAAGTATATCAGAACCAAGTTAAAGGATTCGTTGTTTTCTATTGATGATAATCCAATGTTGTAGCAATGACGTTTTTCGTTGAAATTTTGATGATTGTTGAGGTTTTTCAATGTTTAGAAGTCGATAAAGTGGTTTTGACTTATGAATTTAGGATTCCAGTATGCATTCATGAATAGAAAATGCTAAAAGAATTATCGATTGCCCATGTTGCAACGTATGTTTTTGTGTGTGCTGTAATGCAAAGGCCTAAGTGAAAGTTCTTAGGGGGCGTTTATGAATAATAGGGAAATGTTATTACTAGGAAAATGGTTGGAAAATGAGTTTGGTAGGAAAATATAAAAAAAGTTGTTTAGTTGGAAAAAAATTTACCGGGAAAATTAGGTAAATTTTATAAAGTCTATGTTTGATTTTAGGTAAAATATAGATGGAAAAAAAGTTGCTATTACAAAAATAATCCTGTTTTTAAAAAAAATTCACTTTCACGCGCTCTAGCAAGGGTACGCTCGTCATCTGATTATTGCCCAATGTGACCATTTAGGTAGACAACCCACAATACCACATCTCAAGTGGGAATATGTGGCCATCTATCTTGGTCCAATAAACATGCAAATTGGTAAGCTGGAATACTGATTTAGGTAGGCAAATATTGGAAACGGTTCAACCAAACAAGTTCACCCTACAATCCTACTTCTCCAATGCCTATCTATCTCATCAGATTCCTCCAAACAAACACACCCTTAGAGAAACCTGAGAGCGATGCACTATTAATGCATGGCTCATGGTCATATGCACGACTAGTAATTCTTTATTAAAAATAGGAAAAAATTACACTTAAGTGATATTAGTCATAAAAGGATAGGTAAAATAGGTAAAATAGGTTATATTACATTTTTCAATTTTAATAAAAGATGTAATAAATTTTCAATACCACAGTATTGAAGACATTTTGTATGCATAGGGATGAAAATGTTTGTTGGGTCTCATGATTTCAAACTGACTTTTCTCCCTCAATTTGGAACAATATTCATCTGAACTCATACTAAGTGGGATAGAGGGTCCAACCCATTTTACTGCCCAAGAGACTCAATAATAAAAACTTAAGGAGTAATCCCACATATTCTAACAATAGCAGCACAAAGTTCTTAGGCCTCCTCATCAGCCAATGGTTGAAGAACAAACACAAGGTTCCAGCTAGATCTACATAGCATAGCCCAAACAAGTATCTCGTAAATGAGATAGGCTACACGAGCATCTTGAACCCACTAATAAGATTGAATGTCTTCATACTAAGACAGCATACACAGATCATGTAGATACAAAGTTATGTTTTGATGATAGTAAAGAGGTGACAACAAAAAGACAATGACATTGATCAAGAGCAAAAAGCATCAATCATGTGTGAAGATTGAAAATACATTATTGCCACACAAGAAGAGTAATGAGATATTAAAGTGGCGAGAACATGGATGAGTTATGAAGAAAGCTAGCAATTGACCAAGAGCAAAAAGGAATAAAAGGAAAAGCAAAACTATGATCAAAGGCAACAAACCATGAACAATTTTCAAGGAGATCAAGTCCAACTATTTCCATACAAGTCAAAGCATCCAGCTCAAGTGAAGAATCGATATCCAAGATTAAATGCAACAAGCTAAGTCCATTTCCTTATTAGAATACACTTTTAGGACTTAGATATGATAATAAGGGTATATGCGCGATCTCAAAGTTTTTCTCAAAGTATATTTGTATATGTATTTTTCAAATTATATAATCCACGACCTTTAGATACTTGAAATAATTTGAAAAACCTATGGAAAAGATTCTTGACATATTTTATAACTTCAAAACATATTTATCAAGTCAAGATCTTTCATAAAAAGTGATTGAAATCCATTTTGAAACAAGATCTTTCATATCAAGTCAAAATCTCCCTGATGCTGTCTTCCAGCCAATTTTTCGTATCCAAGATGATGGATTTGGATCTTGTGTTCTGCATAGAAATTGTAGATCTCTCTTTTATCTTTCCAACAAGACCAAGATCACATCAATCCGATAAGAATAGATCAAGTTATACCCAAAATATAAAATAAATTTCTTCTTGTCAAATTTCCAACCTTTAACAGGGTTAGGAAATGGCTATAAACAACTAATTTTTGGTAAAATCACTATATATACATTCCCCATAGCCCTAAAACTAATTGATCACTATTCCTACACATTTTAAGGATGATTTAAGAGCTTTTACACTATTATTTGCATATCATTTTGTATCTTTCAAAGATTACACATATTTGAGCTCATATTGTGAAAATTCATATACCTATAGTGCTTCAAGTTGTATATCCACACTTTGAGAATGTATATTTATTTCCAACCACTTCTTTTTGTATTATTGAATTGAGAGGGTAGTGAAACCCATGAATTAGAGAAGTCACCAAATACCTAAGTAAATTTGAAGTGAAGTGTAAGGTTTACAAGTACCCGTAAACTTGGAGGTTGTAAGGTTTCCAAGTACCCGAAAGCTTGAAAATTTTAGTTGTTTTTCAAGCACCCCTAAAGCTTGACCGTTAGTTGATCGAGCGGTTTCAGTCTAGATGTATGTCACATGTGGTGATGACCGAACCAGGATATATTGTGTTTGCAATTCTCTATAGTCTAAACTCTAAACTTTTTATTTCTAACAATTTAGTTGCTTCTTTGATATTATATATGTGCTAGTATAGTTGGTATCATTGTGGTATATTGTGTATTATTAATTGCTTGAGTATATGTGGTATATTGTGTATTATTAATTGCTTGAGTATATTTATAAGCTTATCATATGTCAAAGTTTCTATAAAATGTTAATTTAGAAACAAGAAGGGGGATTTTGCGAAAATCTTGTAATACTCAATTCATTTGCCTTCTTGAATATGGAAGCCACATTCCTAACAGATCATGCCATCACTATAAAAAGAAGGCTCAAAGTCCAGATATAATCATTTTCTCCATTATTATTAATTAGCTCATTGATCAAATACTGATTTGAGCATCGAAGTGTCTTGCAGATAGCTCCTGTCATTTGTCCCAGTCAAGCAAAGATCTCAAGCATTAGCGCAACCATCCTACATCAGATCACCTGATCAGACTCAACTATGAACTCACTTTACCAACATATTTTGGACTGATCAAGCATAATATAAGATTTGTTATTCACCAAAATATTCAAATCATTAAGAGACCATTTGGATCATCTTTTTTTTAAGCTAGAAACTACTTTTAAGCTAAAGCTAAAAGATATTTGGTTATTACATAAAAAATTTAGTTTAAAAGTTACTTAAAAACACATGCATATTTCAAGAAAACCCTTTCTCTCCGTCTCCATGACTCTTCATTTACAAAAAAGGGTAAAGTGTGTGTCATTTTAAAGGATATAAAGTTGTGTCATTTTAAGAGAAAGAAAAAGATAGATAAAGTAGGAGAGAGAGTTGACCAAAAAAATAAAGGTGTGGGTCCCACCTCTTTGTGAGAGTGAAATGATATAAGTTGTGTCATTTAAAAGGATAAACACTTTTCCCTACAAAAAAAACACATAATTCAAGAAAAACTGATAAAAGCTTAAAAAATTAAAAGCTCTTCCTAAAAGCTTTTACCTTTCGTCTTTTTTTTTCATTATATAAAAATAAACTTTTCATTATAAGAGCTTTTCTCAAAACCTGTTTGGTCTAGTTTCTCTTATAAGGAGAAGAAAAGCTAAAAATAAGAGGATCCAAACAGTCACTAGGTTGAATTAGTTCCAACTTATATAAGGTTTTTTTTTTCCAATTATATAAGTTTGATGTTATATGACATGATGTGCGATGATTTATTAATTACGTGTTCATATAATTGATTAACATGAATATTGCTGATAGTGTAAAATGTAAATGCGCAATTGGTTATGTTTACGTATCTAAAGATAAGGAATGTTGTGTACCAGAAAAATAAAGATAAGCAATGCGTCTAATTGGTTCCTGTATTATTGCTACATTATGTAAAATTCTTTTAACATATCATGATGCATGCTTAATGTAGCATATTGGTGGATTACTCAAAAGTAAACGTTAGTACTAATTGCACGATTAAGTGTATTGTTTTTTAATTTGAAAATGTGAAGTATGTTAGCATATAGCTCAATCCATGTATATTTAAATATTTATAGTACCAATAAAAAAAAATTATGCCACTATTACCAAACCAAAATTCGAATAAAATTCGCACCCAAAACGAGCACAAGAGATGAACGGAAATAATACTCAATAAATTTATTTAACAGGAAAAGTACATATATAGAAAACAGGGGGAGGGAAAAAAAATTCAACATACAAATTATTGAATTATATACTGATTTTATGCATAATAGAAAGGGGTTGCATTTTCTCATGTAACATGAGAGGAGCTTTTCTCCTACACACATAATCAAGTAGGTTCACTAGTTTAAATAAAAAAGAAAAATGAAAGAAAATATTAACACGAAAATCGAGCTCTCACTAACATAAAAGATGACTATTCCTACAACATGAGATTTATTTATCCCTAAAAGAAAATGGACATCGATTAGGTAAAATCTAGAGCGGGGAAAAAAAATAAAAAGAATTGGGTTATATATATAGAATTGTTTGGATAGCATAACTCCAACTAGCTAGGTGGTAGCCTAGTAGGTGGTTGAAAAACAAATAGTTCCCTTCGTTTACTCTTCAACGTCTTGAAATTCTTGTATCTACCCCTTTTATCTGTGTCTTTCTCTCTCTCACAACTATTTCGCATATATGCATCTCCTTTGTTACACAGGGACAGATACCTGAAAGTCAATATATGTTGCTGGTTAGTCGATCTGATAGATATATCTCTCTCTCAGTGCACATTAATAAATATCCACAACATGTGCCTTCATTCCTCACTGCAAAGCTAACCCTCCTTTGCATATTTTTCCACCTATTCTATTTCCATCACCCTTCACCCTTCACCCTTTTACATTCAACACCATCATGAACGAAGCAGTGCAAAGGCTTACGGTGAGTGATTTCCATGCTTTCCTTTGTCAAGTGAACATTCTTTTGCTGGATTAATCTTTATCTCGTTGTCTGTTCGACCTTGAGTCCTTACCAATATTATATATATATATATGATATCAAACTAAAGAATAGGGCAATTATTTTTCACCTTCTCTTCCTAGCTATTAGGTGGTTATTATATCTTCTTCTTTATATTGGTTTTGTTTTCTTAATGTAGGGAGATCTTTCTTAAGGTTTGAACTGGTTTCTTAATATTTTTTCTTCCATGTATATATAATAATTTTTCTTTAAATAGTACACTTACAAGTTTTAAGATTGATAATTTAATGGAATCGATCAAATGATATCTATATAATTATATATCTCACTTTACAGGGAAAGATTGGACACAAAAAAATATACAAGTTTTCCGTAAAAATGAATAAAACAAATAACAATAGGTACAAAAGCTTTTAACGTGCGAGGTGAAGAAATACTAAAAAAATTCTTAAGTACTTCAAATCTTTACCCTTATTCTTTTTGTTAAATTATTAAGGGTTGCACCATCATGTCTATAATAATTCTCAAGGTCGGACAAGCAGCGAAATTGAGTTTCTTGCAAGAATTGTTTGCTGTACAAGGTTTAGCACGAAAATCTACAATTCTCATCATCGATGATCGATCTAGCCAATATATGTTGCGTTATCTTCTTTATGGTACGTGAAAAACTCTTTCCCGACAAACTTTGCATCACTGGGAAAATTGTCGTTCATATATATTAACCATGAATAGTATGTAGTGATCAAATATAATGATCTCATATTTAAAACCCACTTCATAATATCAATGAATTTTCTCTGAGAGAAGTGATTTATATTATTTCTGATTTGTTTATCAATTTTCTAATTTTTATGAGTGGATAAACGAAACGTTCATCGATTTATAATTATCTCCTGATTTTGATGAATAAATTAACCACGGTAAGTTATTTTAAGAAAAGAAATTAACATTCATTTGGCTAAATTTTTATTATTTGCGTTAAATATGTTCTTGATATTGTAATGTTAATCAGAATTGATACCGTATGTTTGTTATACTTCACTGTATAATGTTGGCTGATGAGAATTTCATTGTTAGTATGAATGAACGATATTTGAAGATTTGAAATCTCTAAAGAAAGAAGATTTGAAATCTCTAAAGAAAGAAGATTGTTAATTTTAAATTAAATGTATTTATATGTGTCGGTCCTCATAAATATATAATCTTTTGTTCATGCGCGGGTCTACTATGATGAATTAGTTATTTTAGTTTTTTTTTAATCTTTTGTATACATGGTTAGAGAAATGTTTTTTTTTTTTTTGATAAATCACAGATATCTTTCACGGGATGCAATCCTGTTCGAGCTGGGAACATTCACATCATGGTGCGGTTAGCTCTCCCAAAAGAAAATTTTTGCATTCACAAAGATTTGAACTCAAAACCTTGCTTAAGCTGAATTATGGTTAGAGAAATGTTAATAACACATTTTTTTACCCTCTTTTTATATATATATATATATATATATATATATATATATATATATATATATATTTCTTATTATTGAGTGAATTTACATGTGGACTTTACCAATAGAGAGTGAATTCAGGCCATTTAGGGAGGGCTACATGAAAATCTACCCTATAATAAAATGAGTGTTAAAAAGAGAATGTGAAAAGGCATCTGTTAGCATTCCTATCTGCAGCTATGCATAATATTTTATTTTTTATTCCTTTCTTTTGGATGCAAATCTACATTAAAAAAACGGCTATAAAGAGTAGTACCGAATCATAATAAAAAAGTTTATGATGCATTTTAGTGAGGTAGCTGGTTAGTGTTTCAGCTCACTTGCAGTTTGGCTTCTTATATATGCTGCAATTTGAAGATATTAATTTGTTTTACTTAGATAATATAACAAGAAGGAATATTCAACAGATCATCACAAGCCCTGATTAAACTTCAAAAATTTAATAAGTCACACATGTTTATAACGCACAACATACGGTTTCTTAAAAGGAAAAGGAAGGATCGATGGAGCTAAAAAAATTCAACTTTTCTATCATTTAAATCGTACATCCTGCTAACCACTAGGGCTAGCCTAGTGGTGTGGTTGTGTGTTCTATTTCCTGTAACTTACAACAACAAAAAATCGTACATCCTGCCCTAAAAAAAATCGTATATCCTTATTAGATGAGATTCATACCCTACAAACACCCAAGGAATTAATTTGCAAGTATATAGGAAGATCAACTGACCACGACACAGTAAGCTTATCGCCCAAAAACCAGAGGGGTCGCCCCCCCCCCCCCGGTCTCTAGATCTCTGGGACCTAGATTGGGTCTATTATCCCCTGAGTCGACCTACCTTGTCACAAAGCAGAGTTTGATGACATCAATCAAGCTTTACTTAATTAGTCCAAACCATAGAACTTAACTTTATTGTAGATCTATTTCCTTTAATAGTTAGTATTGAGAACCTTGATATTCATGTTATGGTTGAAATTAATTTATTTGGTTCCTTTTAAGATTCAGAATTTGATGACATAATGTATCATTTATAATTATTTGATTTTTTTATTTATTTTGGTTACAACTTACAATAACATTATCATAGCTTGAATGTAATATACGGAAGTTATTTGCACTTGCATCACTAACTAACTATTAACCGCTTATAAGTCACCTGCACTTTTCATCAAAAACTTACCCCCAAAGGCTTTTATGTCACATGAATCTATACAATACTGAAATGAGAACATAATAAAAGAATTTGATATCTTTGAAGTTTTTTATTTTTTATACAATAGGAATAATGAGGTTTAAACCTGTGACCCCATCCAAAACAATTATAGTTGCTTTCTTTTTTCCTTTTTATAAAAAAAGTCTATTTTGAGGTCATATCAAAAATCTCAATGAAATGTCACAATCACCTACTAATAGAAAACACTATCAGGAATCAAACTAAAAAACTTAAACATTTAAACAACATAAGTTAAAAAAAAATATTTGATTTTTCCATTACATCACAATAGTTTTATGCTTTTTTTTTCAATCACTTCATTAATTATTTGATTAGTCCAATTTAAATTCGTTTTATGCTCATTTCACTCAAGGCATAATAAGCCATTATCAATATTTGTATAAAATTCACACCAGATCTCTTTATCAAAGCAAATTCTCTAACATTAGTTGGTACGGACCTCCACTTAATTTACCCAAGCTTCATCTTAGTCATGATTCGTGTCTTTTTTTGATATACCGTCTATTATCCGGTCATTATTTGCACCGACTAATCTGAATATAGGCCCAAGCCCATTAAAATTTGTACAATAAAATGAATCATTCCCCTCGAAATAACCAAACATAGCCTTGAGAGAGAGATGGTAACAATATTGAGAGTCCATCTAGTGACAGGATGAAAGTTCTTCTAACAAGAAATCAATGATACTCCTCTAGTTTTCGCGAATTCAAGATTCATAACCTGATTTCAAGAAAAATTGAAATGAAGATCAAGATCTCAATTTTTGAGTATTGATCATCATTCTCAAATCTCTCTCGTGGTCTAAGTGTAACCCTTGTTCCAACCAAAGGGATGTTGCATCATCGGGAACCTTCAAGTAGATGCTTGCTGGCAAAAGGGAATCAAGAAAACCATCCGATTTCCCGATGGTAAGTTCAGTTTAATGTTTCTGCATCTATTAAAAATGAAAAAAAAAAATATATTTTAATTCATCTTGCACTGAGAAGATGGGAGAAAATAAGAAATTCCCACAACTCATTGGTTCTGTTAGATCTTATATAGTAGCTATGATCTTCATCAAGTCTTGCTTATTATATTACACACGTTTCTGACCACTTGCTACCTTTGTTTGGATTAATTTAACCTTCATAAATTTTAGAATTGTTTACTGAAATGAATTCCCTAATTCTTATATAGAATGCGATATTTTTCTTCTTTTTTAGTTTTACTTAGTGTTATATTCCTTTAAATCATTAGTTATTTTAGCCCATTTTACACTTTCAAATCTTATATCTTTTAAATGGTTTTTGGAACAGTCATTTACTGATCCAGCTATAGCCAAACTTTTCCCCCAATTTCTTCTTGCAAGTTTCTCTAAAACTAAAGGGATAACTAGACATAACAAAGGGTTGTCTCACATTAACTACACATTTTGATTTGTTTTTGGAAAATCTTTTTTCAAAACATTTCCTTGAATAAATTTTTAAGTTATTTTGAACATAAATTAAGTTAATATAAAATAAGTTAATCTTTTTTTTTTGTATATAAAAATAAGTTAATCTAAATAGACACTAAGTTAAACATTTTTTACCTATATGAATATGGAGAAGGATTCGTTTACAAACTTCTTTTACAAACTACACTATGACTAATGTTCTTCCGGGAGAAGATAGTGTAGTTTGTAAGAGTTTGTAAACAAAAAAGTTTATAACTATAACCCTCCCCCGTGAATATATGATCACTGGATGGCAAATTTTTTATAAATTAACTCTCATGATCTTACATTTTTTTGTTTTTTGTTTTTGGGCAGCTTGTGAATTACCACCCGTCCTATGCTCTCAAAGTATATTTCACATATTAATATTATCACTATTTCTCATAACCTTCTAATTGAAACTATCCAGAATTTATATTAGATAATGTGATGTTCTAATTGACTTACAGCTTGTGCATATTAAAGAAATCCCTGTGCTCAGATTATTTACAACATGGTCACATTAAGACTCTGAAAGGTATGTTTCATCTCTCTCCCCTTCATTGTTTGAAAAATGAGAGAAAAATAAATTAGTAGAAAAAACATGCAATGAATATATATATATATATATATATATATATATATATATATATATATATATATATATATATATATATATATATATATATATATGGATTCTCTGTAGCTCAGTTGGCGTATAGAAGCTGAGCAGGTGGGAGTAATTAAGAGCATGTGTTTGATTCTTTCCAGTACCATCTTTGGAAGGGGTTTAAAGCCTTAATTCTATACCCGCCCCGAATAAAACTGTCTCCCGTAGAGGATACATGTTTATCAAATATATATATATATATATATATATATATATATATATATATATATATATATATATGAGAGGGTTATATTTATAAATTTTTTGTTTACAAACTATACTATGTATTTTCAGAAATACACTAGATTACATTATGTGCTTCCGGGAGTATATAGTGTAATTTGCAAAAATTTGTAAAAAAAGTTTGTAAACGAATCATTCCCCATATATATATATATATATATATATATATAGGTTTTATAATTCTAATGTTAAATGAGAATTAAAATCTTATGTTGTAGAGACAAAAAAAACATGTGAGACCCGTATGTTAGAAAAAAATTATATGTAAGACCCATATCAGCACAGAAATCGAAGGGTGTGTAGAAAAATTCCAATTCTCATGTTAAATGAAAATTATAAAATCCCATATATATATATATGAAAAAGTTATATTTATAAATTTTTTGTTTACAAACTATACTAAATATGACCGGTCATACTTAATGTAATTTGTAAAAAAAAATTATAAACGGATGTTTCTCCATATATATATATATATATAGGGTTTTATAATTCTCATTTAACATGAGAATTCAAATTTTCCTACACACCCTTCGATTTCCGTGCTGACATGGGTCCTACATATAATTTTTTCTAACACATGAGTCCACATGCTTTTTATCTCTACAACATGAGAATTGAATTCTCATTTAACATGAGAAAATCAAACCCCATATATATATATATATATATATATATATATATATATATATATAAGGTCTACATAGTGATGTTTTCCAGTCATTACAACCTGTAGACGTTGTGATTCCTCCACCGTCGATTCACTCTTCTGAGTTCTTTAGAATAACCCATGTATGCCCCAAATTTGTAAAATACTTTGTGCAAACCTTTTTTTTTTTTTAATTAATTTCTTGCATATATAGTTCCAGGCATAAGATGATTATTATTAAATATATTTTTCCAAGTAACAACTCCAGTACTAAAACCATGATATATTATGGAAAGTGGGCATAGAGTTACAGTTTACTTTTACAGCGAACAACTAGTTTTAGATATCCAAATAGTCCATTCTATCCTGTTAACCTCAGTTTTATTAATTCACCCCATCAGCCAAGTTATGCACACAACTTCAAGCTCTACCTTATCATATATAACATGCGCTATGTACACCTTTTTATTTTTAATTTATTTCCTCTAAGAGGAAAAATTGTTTCATTGTAGAGTTTATATGCTCCCACAATTTAGAGATTAAATGATATTTTTTATTTTTTTTTGGTATCCTAGATTAAATGATACTTTATTAAAGAGCTTATTGTAAAATGTAGGGGTGTGTATAGTTTAGTTTCGTTCGATTTTCTTTATCGAATTGAACTGAAGGAAAAAAAATTATTTAGCTTAGAGAATTAAACTAATTTATTTTTTCGAACCAGTTTAATTTGTTTTAGAACTAGTTCAGAATTGATTTTTAAAATCAATTTTAAACCTAAATAAAAAGTACTGAAAAAAAGATAAAAAGTATAAATGATACAAGAAATTAAAAAATTGATAAATGATTAAAAATAAAATAAAATAAATAAATAAGAGAAAAAATATATAAGAGAAAAAAATAAAAAATAAAATAAAAAAATAGTTCGGTTCATAATATTTACTAATTCAATGATCACCAGTTTATAAACTGATATTTTTTTTTTAATTTAGTTCTTTCAAGTACAGTTTAATTCAAAATCTAATTTAATATTTTGATTTTTTTTCACACCCCTAATAAAATATTATTATTATAATATTAAGTAATATCAGAATAGTACAGGTTTGATCGAGGCTTTAAGCTTCTTTTTCAAATCTTTCCCGAGGATTTGATAATTGCATTGTTTTATACTTAGTTAACTTTTTAACATCTAGTTCAGTTCTTATGATTTTTTTTTCACACCCCTAAAAAAGGTGATTATTATGATATTAAGTAATATCAGAATAGTACAGGTTTGATAGGAAGACATTAAACATCTTTTTCAAACAAATTTTTGAGGAGTTGATTATTGCACTGTCTTATACTTAGTTAACTTTTCAAAAAAAATTGTATTAGGGCTATGGCTGTTGTGTATTCAAGTTCTTCAATATTCCATTTTATTTTGGTTTTTTTCAATCATCTTGGTGGGAATCTCGTACAAAACTAGGATGATTTTTTTTAAGTTCATGATAAATAGATGGTGAAATTCTTCTAACCTTGATCTTCAACTAGACTAGAACCCTTAGTGATTGTCATGATGACCCTTGCTTGGGGATGAAACATGGCCCCAATCAAACTTGCAATTTGATTGATAAGAATTCAATTTACTGTTAGCTAACCAACACAAACCTAGTTCAACTAAAGAAGAATAACATCTACAAATTTTCATTCAATAAAGCATAGCATTTAACTTAGCAACTAAATATGTTTTTAAACAAGGGTTTAGTGTTTGTCTTTAAACAAATACAAGAAAAGATACAGTTTTCCCATTGGATTCTGATCTAATTAATAAAATAAAGAAACATGTTGGCCTGTTTATTTGAAACCTTCGGCCATATACATATTATAAATGATTTGAAATAAGGCTTGTGTTAAATCTCCTTGCCCTGTTTGAATGTAGAAGTCTTGAAATAAGTTATACAAATCCTCCTTGAATGGTTTGGCCCTTAGACTGAGTGTTTCGCTCAAAAGTTATAACTTATCTCTTGACCCTCCCTTACAAGGTGTGGACTATATATTCTCATCATTCCCTTCCTCTTACAAAAGATTTGTCCTCAAATTGTTTAAAATAGATAAGTGAACAATATTAAAACAAGTATTAGTTAACATATCATATCAAATTTTGTGAAACTCTGCACAAATTTGCACGAAACTTGCACAAGTAGGATCTTTCCAATTCAAATTTAAGGTAAATAAATTTTATTCAAATTTAAGATAAATGAATTGCGAAATTCCCCCACAAACGTCATCCTTTAGAGAGACAAGAACTTCTAGCTAGTTTCTTAATTTTTGATAAATGTTTATGTCTCTATTTTTTTATCTTGTTATTTATCTTTTTCTTGATAGACTGATGAATAGAAATCAGAACTAACACAATCATGAGCACAATAAAACATATAAATTAACTTTATATGTATTATTTATTGACAAAACAGAAGAGAAGCATATATAGAAAAAAGGTTGCCAGGGAAATAGTATGTCCCACACAAACAAACTAACCCTAGCTAGGTTTATGACTACAGACACCCTCAACTGTTATTTATTTATAAGCCTACTATATTTATTAGATATAGGCATAATATTTCATAACCCATGCTTAGCACCAAGAGGGTCACCGAAAAGATTCAGCGCCTCTTAGATGCCGGTTCCTTCTGTGAGTTGAAGTACACAGTGGCCACAGGGAGGCCCAGATCCATTTGCCTGGCAAAGCTGCGGGTGTTAAAGCTGGCGCGAGCTGTTGGCTGCTCCACCGGACCCATTGGTCCTTTCTGCTGAAACAGAACAAATATATAGCGGTGTATCCCCACCGGTGGCTTCGGACCCATATATGGAAGGATCTCTTTTCCTGAAAGTAATGGAGAATAATACTGAATTAGTCCTACACTTTATATTAAATTTATCCATTTGTTTTGAAATAAATTAATTAATTGTGAAAAGAAAAGATTTTCACTTTAGAAGACCGAAGAAATCTCCTATATGTTATATAATTATATATGTGCATGAATATGGAGCACGCGAGAAGAACTAAAACTAAGCTTATATTTTTAGTCATACTTAAAAAAAAAAAAGTGTGATTCTAGAATTGTTCTCCTAGAAAAGTGTAATGCTTATGCAAGCCATGGAGCTACGTGTGAAGATCTCAAAGCAAGAGATCCCCTGGTTAACACCTGTTTTCTAAATTGCTGCGTGCATTGAAAAATGATAAATAAATATTTTTTTTGGTTGAAGATAAATAAATAAATTTATTCATATGCATAAAAGAAAACTTTATAACTAATTTAGGAATGATTTAATTATTTAATTCAATCTTAAAATTCAATAATTATTTAATTTTTATGTGCATATTAATAAAATCTAAAAAACAAATATTTGAGAATTTAAAAAATAATTTAGTATTCTGACACGTGTCAATAGCAGCCACATGCAGGAGACGTGGAGGATGGTGGACATCGGATCCAGATTTGGACAAATTACAGGTGTGAGAGGGCCATTTGATGGATTTAAACATGGCATGCCAGGATGTGATGTAACCCTAAAATTCTGTGATTTTTTCAGAAGAAATCTGAAACATGCGAGAAGTCAAAGAACATGCATGTAAATTTTTGCCAAGGAAACAAGCCTAAGATTCTTTAGGATTGTTTATGACGCAGTGAACAAAATATTTCTGAAATCAAGAGACAAGAGTAAGGTGGAGTGGATCTTTCGAAGCTAACCCACTAAAAATATGAAATTTATTTTTCACGTACGTCAACAACGTGAGAATAATCTGTGTGCACTATTAAAAAAAAAATTATTATTAGTATCATTGTTTGCACATGAAATTGAAAAAGTAGAACTAAAGCCCAATTGTACTCAGTCATGCAACATTTCATGAGATATGAAAAAAAAAATAAAAAAAATAATGAAACAGATCAAAAGTTCTTTTTATTACCTCGGTTTGGGTTTGTCCCACCAGGTATGTCAACAACGATCCTGGAAAGTAGAGATTGCAAGATCAGTTCAAAAAAAATATTAAAATCTTTTTTAAATAGAAAAAATAAAATAAAGCAAAGACAGGGGAATAAAGAAGAAGAAAAAAATGTAGAATTAAGAAAGAGAGAAAGTAATCAGGATAAAAACAAGTGAGGAAAGATAAGGGAAACAAAGAAAAAATAAAGAGAGAGAGAAAGAAATCAGAATAAAATCAAGTTCACCAACCAATGTATCCACTCTCGCATGCTTGGTTCACTTGGGCTCGGTGCATCTGGATCTGTCATAACCTGCATGCACATAGACTTGACAAACTCAGTTGATTTTAAAATGGAAAAAAATGAGAAATCATAAAAAATCAGCAAAAACCACATGCATGCAAGATCTCTTTCCATAAGCTGGCTCTTAGAGTATAATAGGAAAAGAAAAGGGTTATAACTTACCAAGGTGTAAAGGTTATCCATGTTGCCTGTGAGAGTCAACTTAGGTGGGCTAATAGCCATGGAGGGCTTGATGTCACAGCCATTGGTGACATGCTTGGCACCAAAGTACACAGACATGCTAGCAGATGGAACAAACATGTCAACAACATCACCGATCACACGACCAAGGACGAGTGGATCAATTGAGGTAGCCATAACCAGAAAGACAATGCACAAGAGAGCAGAGTTGTTAAGAGACAAAGAAAGCATAAAGCAAAGAGTGAGTGTAGAAACCAGAGTTGTTGGTGGTTGTGTGAATTTCAATTGTGCCAAGAAGTAGGGTTTATATAGAAAGTGTGTAATTAAAAAAGCAGAGGTAAAGTAACAGGGCCACACTATTTTGTAACTTTTATTTTATTTTATTTTTTTGTGTGTAATGAAACTGTGTTTCATTAATGGGGCCATCACAAAATCAGGAACAGCAATGGCTGACACGTGTGTAGAGTTCCATAGAGGTAAAACAGCCATCCTTTGTTTCTATGTGACGAATGGCGTCATCAGCTCCGTCCATTGAAACTACCAGCCAACATATGTATCAGAAAAGCAGTAAATGGGTTCAAACCATTCATGATTCATGCAGCTTAATTAAGATAAGCAAGCACAGGTTGTAACGCCAAGGTTTCAAATCTGTGGTGGTGGAGTCCACAAGGCAATAATCAACGGCAGAGAAGGAAGGTGCAGATTGCAATGGTGGTTTGTGCAATAGCAGAATACTGCCTTGTTTTGTAACTCCCCCTGGCCCTCGCTTTTCTTACTTGTCTGTATTAGCAAAGGGGGTTTTGGCTGTTTAAAGAGTTTCTTAATGAACAGCGTCATGGATGACCTGGAAGATTCTTCACTGCCATTTAAACTCATTCAGTGAGAAATGGCTAATGAGGTCTCTGTAAAAAGTGGTTGAATGAAAACTACGTCATTATATGGGGAAATATTTTTTTTACGTGGTAGAAAAATAGTTACCTCATGTTGTACAAATAAAATTACAAGTGGGACCCATAGTTAAGAGGAGAGAAAAAAAAATGGTGAGACCCACCCCTTTTTGTGTGTATAGAAAAATTGTTTCTCACATGTAAAATGAGATAAATATAATCCTATATTATATTATATTATATTATATGAATTTAATGTTTCTACCGTATAGATATATTATCTATATTTACTTTCAAATTGACGTCATTTTGGATTGAATGATTAAAAAATTATAACGATAAAGACTGTTATATTTTAAATAAATTATAATTATAAAAATACTTTGATTTCTGTCCTAAAACAATATTGTTTTGGGTTCAATACAAATAATTTATTTGCATTCACTACAGGCAAAAAAAACCCTTATTATATATATCCTCTTGGCGTTTCAAATGTTTTACCCTCAAAAAATAAAATTGAATATATAATCTAATACAACATCTTCAAATCCCTCGTCATTAGACCAAAACTAATGGTTTGATATTTTATCCGTTTATCATGTACCACCGCCAATTTTAGTTAAATAGGTTATTATTGTCTCATTTTACATGATTGTGTGGTAATTCATTTAATATTAGGAAGAAAGAAAATTCTCACTCTAACAACACTTACAAAGTTTACATAATAGAAAAAGTATTTGTTCTTTTAAAGGATATAATATTTTGTGTTATTTTAGATCCTATCAGTTGATTTCTGTCAATTAAAGATTGTAATTTATTGTGAATTACTAATTAATTAATAGGTTTGACCCAATAAATTATAACCGTTGATTGACAAAAATCAACGGTTAGGATATGAAATGACACAAAATTATATTCCTTAAAAGGATAAATATTTTCTCTATAATATTACGTTTTTACACTTCTTTTTAATGTATACCTATTTTGATTTTAAAAAAGCCATACTTTTTTACTTTTCTTTTTATATCCTTTTTCGTAAAAAAACAAAGCAGGAAAAAATAAAAAAATCAAAAATATATTACTAAAATTAAAAATAACTGTGACCACTGAAATTAATATCCCTTGCCTTGCATGGGGATCGATTACCTGTAATAAATTCATATTCAATTTTTGTAAAATTTAATGCTTAGTTGCCCCTAAATAATAAGTAAAAGTATTTTGTTCATTATTTCTAAATTTAAAGAAAGAGAATGTGTATTTAATAATATTATATAATGTTTGTATTTAATAAATAGGTGAATGAATATATTACACTCATGTATCATTTAACATCACAATATTATATGAGAATATTTTAATGATCAAACCAATAGTGATAAAAGATGCGAAAAATAAATATTGAAATAAAGAGTGAGAAAAATTAAAAAAAGGTTATTTCTTGTGACGGTTAATTTGTGTTTTATCATTGTCTAGAAAAAAATTGATTTTATCAAATGTTATTTTTAATTATTTCTGTTCAGCATACTAAAAGTAAAGAAAAAACAAATATCTCTATAAGAACAGTGTGATGCAAAAAATTATCTAGTATCTACGGAAGAAAAAAACAAATTCGTGTATATTTATTGAATTTATCATTCAATATAACACCAATGAGTAATTAAAACAAAAATAGTAAAAGAAAAATTATCAAAATAAACTTTTAAAATTAAGGTAAGTATATATAAGTAAAGATTTAATAATGATATTAAAATTAACTAATTAATTCTAAGATTACAATATGAATTGATTACAAAAAATGTTACGATCCGATAGCTCGATATGTCCAATCATAGATTGGTATGTTAATATAGGATCTGTTTGCCCTCCCTCAGGTACCTATAGGAGAGGTACCCTAAAGATAAGCAGATCACTATGCACAATAACATAACGACATAGTCAAAGCGTGGGGTGTGTGCACAGTGACAAGCTAAGAGAGAGAGGGTTTTGAGCGTGTTACCTTATTGGTTTAACCCTTATTTATAGATGAGTTACCTAACAGAAGTAGACTTTTGGGCCTCTCAGAAGAATTGGGAGTCCAATTGTTGATCCATTACTGCCATAGTAGGTTTAGCATAATTAAGGAATGTTTCCTTAATTCCCTCTTAGTTGTTAGCCCTATTTGGGCCTTCTAGAATATAGGCCTTTGTCAGGTCCATAACAGTTGCCCCCCAGCCCAGTAGTTTGGTTGTCCAGGCTGCCGAGGTGAATTGTCTTGCCTTTTGCTTTAGGTTTTCTGCTGAGCTGAGAGCGTTTGAGTTTTTGTAAACTTTTTGCATATATGTTCCTTACATCTCAGGCTTTTAAACTGGGGTCCTCATTGCCCCTTATCTCGGCGGGTTGATCATAAACCATGGAAAACATTTCACGTACCGAGTAGTTGCCCCCAAGCATCATTCCATACGCACACGTCCTGAGTTTGTAGCTTTCTTCTGAAACTGGGAATGATTTCCCTTGTCAACTATGTGGGCGGGTTATGCATGAACCCGGCAAGATACTGCACATGTGTAATCAGGGAACGAACGATCTTGAGTTGTTGGGATCCAACTGGCGAGTTGCCCCAAGCCTCATCCACGTAACCCGGCTAAGAGTTCCCCCTCAGCCCGGTAGTTTGGTTTTCCAGGCTGCCGGGATGAAATAACAGTAATCTCTGCATTTGACTTTCCTTTGCATATTTTATTCAAGTTAGCAGTCGAAATCTTGCTTTGACTTGGCATCTTTATTGAAGCAATTTTCTTTGGGTTGGAACTTTTCTTGGCCGATTTAATTGGGTCAGCGATTGCAGATATTATCTCTGTTATTCCGAGGTGGAATTTTAGTGAACCGAGTATTGAATATGTTGTTTCCATATTTCTCCCTCAATCTTTTTTGGCTGAGGTGGTGCTTTGGTGAGGCAGTGTTTGCCTCCTTTTAACATCGAGCTCGTAGCTGTTCCTTCCTAGGCTTTCGGTTGGAGTCCAACTTCTTGCACTGTGACTTTATTGATTTAGATTTAGCTTTTCAGCGTTAACTGAACAAAATGACCTAGCCAAGGTTTTTCATGCGGATTCTTCTTTTTGCTTTTAACCCAATGTTCTTAATTAGGTTTTCAAATTTGAGGCGTCATGGTGACTTGATCAAGGTCGTAACAATTTGCCCCTTATTTTTCAAGCCTGATTTCATTTATCACAGCTTGTACACATGTTGTTTATTTTGACAACGTTTAGGATTCGGAAAGCGTCCTTCCGTTTTCCTATGCCTCGACTAGAAGCCACAGTCCTGCAGTGTGCTTTTTATTTTTAACCCGTTTTCTATCCAGGTTCTTGCACGTTGCTAGATGTAGGTTTCCAATACTTTGGCTTTATAATATTTGACGTAGGTGTCATTTTTTGACTTCGTCTTGTTTCGTCGTTTCAGATTGGGGTGTGATTCTTTTTCTAGGATCTCATCTCTCCAAACCCGTCTTCATTTTTTACCCCAAATTTTTATCATGGGTCTTTATCCCGGATTGGGGTGTAATCCTTTTTCTAGGATCGCATCTCTCCAAACCCGTCTTCATTTTGTCGCGGATTGGGGGTGATCCTTTTTCCCAGGATCCCGTCTCTCCGAATCCGTCTTCATTTCATCGCGGGTTGGGGCGTGATCCTTTTTCCCAGGATCCCGTCTCTCCGAATCCGTCTTCATTTCATCGCGGGTTTGGGCGTGATCCTTTTTTCCAGGATCCCGTCTCTCCAAACCCGTCTTCATTTCGTCGCGGGTTGGGGCCTGATCCTTTTTCCCAGGATCCCGTCTCTCCAAATCCGTCTTCATTTCATCGCGGGTTGGGGCGTGATCTTTTTTCCAGGATCACATGACTAAGTATTTTTTAAATAAAATGGAAATAATGATGAAGGGGCTCAAATTAATGTATTATTTTGGGGAATAAATTAAGAAGAAAAAAAAAAGCATAGTACTTGAACGAGGCGAAAGGCTTAGGCCCATTTATTTATGCACCATCAAAACCTGGTTTTGGGTTTGAGGGGAAGGTCAAATTGGAAACTGAACTAGTAAGACTATACAACAAAAAGCATTAAAATCTTGCATTGACGTATTTATTATCTGAACTTAAATGCGATATTTACATACTTTAAACATAATAAAATAAGTGACGTTTATCTATCAATAAAAACAAAACAAATAACACTGCGTATTTATTATTCTTAGAAATTTTCAAACTTGGTATTCAATATATCTATGCGTTTCATATAGTAAAAGTCTCATCCTTTAAATCATCTCTTTTCCATGATAAAG